GTTATAGTGTTTGGATCCCGCTTCAAACCTGATCCTTAGTTCAGTGAATCTCAGTGCCTAGTATTTCTGTGTCTAATCAGGAATCGCATTTACTCATCAGGATATCAAGGGGGGCAGCAGCTCTTGATGCAGCATGTAGCTGGCAAATGGAGTCCATAAAGGTGCATACAGCAGGTGGCCTGCAGCCCCTCTCCTCCTCGATGTAGCACTGCAGCTGGTGCGGAGTGGGTCTTGCAATGGTTTATCCCCGATTTAGCCACAGCATAGACAGATGGAGAAGCAGGCCTACCCGTCGGTCCCAGCATTCAGTGCTGCCAGCATATTTCCAGGTGGAAAGGAGCCTTGTAGTGCAGAAGAGACCATTTATATTGGGAGCAGCCCCCAGGCTTTGGGCTGGTTCCAGTGCATCTCTCGGCCAGGTAACGTTTACATGCTCTGTCGTGACGCGACGCAAACCTGTAGCACCGGGGGTCATACATAGATTCATAGATGTTTCATAGATTCATAGATACAGCTGCAGGTTAAAATAATAATTGTCTGACCCAGCTTCCAGGGAAAGTCTAATGTGCTCCATGGCTCAGGGAGGAAGTTTTCTTCCCTTCCTGCTTTATCTCCGTGTTGTTGAGTGATGGGATCCAGGAACACTACCTGCAGATGTCTCCATCCTCTAGAGATGCAAGGAGCTGAGCAAAGGGGGAAAGTTATGTAGTGAGAACTCACTTTGCAATGGCAAGAGTGCTGCATCAGCAGCAACGAGACACCGAAGCAGGAGGCCAGACAAGTGCCATAAGAACAGGAGCGAGAAGGAATGGTTTCCATGTGTTCAAGTGAACAATACAATCCCAAACGTAGGCCTAGAGAAACAGGAACGATGAAGAGAGACTTGGTAGCTGATGCTCGCTAAAATTACTATCACATTGGAGACCATGCTATAAAGGCATGCTGTAGCACAGCAAGCCTGGGTTGGATGCAGGAGAATGGAGCAGAGGGACCAAAACCAGCCTGAATTCCACTATGTATCAAAATCAAACGTCCAGGTGGGCAAGTGGACAGGGTGTATCCAACAAGACTTGCCCCAAGAGCCACTAGCTGCACTACCTTGCCAACCCTGAGAGGCACCTGTCCATGCCCTCAAGCAATGATCCGATTCCCTGCTGCCCAGCAGTCGCTTGTCCAAATACAGTGCAAGTGTCTGGCAGGACGCAAAATGCAACCGGATCAGAGTAGTGTTTCACAGCCATTTCACGTGGATTGGGTGCACATAATCGCGCAAGATGCAAGCCAGTGAAGCGGCAGGCTCTGGGCATCCTGTCCTTGATGGATCCAAGAATATTGCACAAATTTTAAAAAGAAAATAATATAGATTGGGGTGACCAACCTCTGCATGGCATGTGGCAGATTGTGGAGGGGACAGACATCTCAGTGGCAGAGAGGGCAGGAAGCAGAGCAGTCAATCAGGCAGGGGAACGGGAAGAAATGATATTCTGGGAGACTTCCCTTACAATGGACGGTAGAGGGCACTGGTACCGTAGTTCAGCCGAATGCAGCAACGAGCAGGATCATTTTATCAGGTATCCAGGTGGTAGCCGTATTGGTCTAGAGGAAAAGGCAGTCAGGACTCATAGTAGAGATGATATCTTTTATTAGACCAACACAATTGTTGCAAAATGAAAGACTTTTTTTGCAAAAATCTTGTTGGTCTAATAAAAGATATTATTTCTACTACAAGTCCTGATTGCCAGGATCATTTTAGGCTTTCCAGGTTGCTACTAAGCTGCGAAGTGTGGTCATTGGGAACTGTACGGCGAGAGCAGAGTCTAACTGATATCTCCCTCGCTCCCACCCCAGTACTAATATTGGTCTGGGAAAGGGCAGCCCTGGCAGAGAGATGTTATAATTTCATAGTCATGTAAAGCAGCAGATAGTTTTTATGAGATTATTTTCCACAATTTTCCACAACCTTATTTCATCTGTTCCCACCCACCTGATATTTCATAGGGGCATGGGATGCGGATTCTGCAGAAAACATGAGTCGGCATCCAAGCACATGTTAAATCACCATTTTTGCTTTTTTTTAAATTAAAGTGAATCTGATGCCGTTTGCCAAATATTTCAATGCCGTTTAAAACTTGAGTAATAATTTCACAAAAGCGACACAGTTAGAACATCTCATGAAACAGAAAGAAAATCCGTCTTTTGGGATTTCAGACTTCATTGCGAGTGTTCAGATCCTATTGCTAATCCCAGCTGTGCCTACACCTGACTGCCAGGATCCAGCTGTGGACTGGTTTTAGTTTTCATCCTCTTACCTATTTCCAATTTTGGTAAAGGCGGCAAATGGGGATTATAATTCTATCTTTAACTTGCCCTTGATTTGCAAAAAAAGGCATTGATATGTCTCATATCCAGCAGATGTATTTGCTGTGTGAGGACACACCACCACCTATCGGACTGAAGTTGGTTTTACATTTGGACATGACGGCAGTGTGGAAGTTCCCATCAGCATTTAGCATCCCTGCACCGAATCTCTGTTCAGACGTATTTGTCGGCGCAGAGAGGAAGTATCCTAGCACGCCAGGTTTGGGCGCTGCTGGGGGGTCCCTTTGCTTGGTGTGCCACCCTCGGGGGGGAAAATGTAACTCATGAAACATGTTGCCCTTGCATCTCTGGATTTGCTGCTAACCTGCTTTCTACTGGGCATGGAAAGAACGGCAGATCATCACTGACGCTCGCCTCCCCTACTTCATGGCTTTGTCTGATTTCAGTCACCGGATAGAGGCTTTTTAATTTTGCAAACCTTTTCCTCGCAAGTCAGAGATTTCCTTGCACTTGCCCAAGAGAAACAGCACGCCAGTCATTATTCTTAAACATAGACTGATGTCACGTGCTGCCCCTTTATGCACGTGCACAGAGCGATATCCATCATTCCCACTCAGTTGTCTCGCTCTTTTTCTTTTTTCCTAACCCATCGCTTCTCTGATCTATTCAAGATGGTTGATTTTACATTTAAGCAGGGATTCATCACCTGGCAGAACAAGGAGCGACGGTCTCAAGTTGCGGCAAGGGAGGTTTAAGTTGGATATTAGGATTAACTTTCTCACTAGGAGGGGGGTGAAGCCCTGGAACGGGCTACCCGGAGAGCTGGGGGAAGCTCCATCCTTGGAGGTTTTTAAGACCCGGGTAGACAAAGCTTTGGCTGGGATGAAGTAGTTGGGGCTGGTCCTGGTTTGAGCAGGGGGGTGGACTAGATGTGACCCCCTGAGGTCCCTTCCAACCCTCATTTTCCATGACTCTACCTTTGCTCTATGTGAAGAAAAACAGGTGCACTCCCCTAATGGACAACACCTACTGATGCCATTTATGAGCACGGTGCTCACAACATACAAAAACACACCTAAGCACGGCCTTGTTTCATAATGCCGGCAATGACTCCTATTCTCACTGTGGGGGGAGACCTCGGGCTGCCCTCATTCAAGGTGGTCGCTCACTCCCGTTCTTCCCAATAGTAGTTGAAGGCAAACTACCCTCAGAGAAGGTGGTGGATCCCCTGTGCTGTCAGGTGGCAGAGGGGCTGATGAATCTAGGGCTAATGGGAGAGGGTAGGACTGCAGGCTCGGCAACTCTATACTGCAGATGTTCCTAGCCGTGCAAAGCTCACGAGGATGTATAAGACATCGATGCAGAATACAGCCCCTCGCCCTGGCTTCTCGGGGACCTCCGCGCCGGGAGTCGCTCGGTTCTAGACAACAGGCAAACACTTATGATGTCCCAGGCCTGCGAGATGCTGGGGAAACTGTGGTCTCCGGGGGGCTCTGGGATAAGGGGATGCTGTCTTCACTCTGCGGCATAATACTTGTGAACATCAGTACTAGCCTCTCTCATTTTGGGTCTTCGACACCCATTACGCTTTGCATCTTGAGTAGCTGAGAGGGGAGGAGAGGGGATCAAAGTGCTATGCTCCCTTCCCATCGCCCTGCCTCAAAAAAGGATACAGCAGAAATAGAGACCGCAGAGATGCCATGAGCTCTTGACCTTGTCTGCTAGCTTGCACTCGTGCAGTCTCGAAGTGACAAGTGAATCCCAGCTGACGTGTCCTCTGCCCGGAGGAGCAAATGAGCGCCCCCCACCCCGACCATCCGGAAGTGGAGTGAAATATTTCTGATTACCTGCTGGTCCTTGGGCCTCCACAAACGAGACCCCCGCTCTGTGCATCAGAAAGAATACGACGGAGGACACTTTCCCTCTCCGAAATCCTTCTGCTCCTGGGTATGACCAGAACCCATCAGCCCCTTTGCTACCAGGGGCTCCCAGGGATTTGGATGAGCTTGGATATATAATATGGCTGAGAGAGAGGCTAGAGAGATGCTCGTGGGGGGCGAACCTGGCAGAGACGCTGGAGGTAGGATATGCCTGATGAACGAGTTGAGGCATTGAAAGATTAAATAAAGAAAAACTCCTTCACAGTCAGGGTGTCCAGACTGGAATAAGCTCCCTCCAGAGGTGGTGCAATCACCTACTCTGGAGATCTTCAAGAGGAGACTGGACGGTCACCTCGCTGGGGTCGCTTGACCCCCAGATACCTTTCCTGCCTGGTGCAGGGGGCTGGACCCGATGATCTTCCGAGGAGCTTTACAATCTATGAAACAACATATCTGGTTTATGCCGTGCAGAATATCTGACTCCGTAGTGAAGACGAAGAAGGCACCAGCCTTGAGCCACCCTATAAGAATCCCATAGATCCCCCTTCACTCCTTGTTGCAACAGCTAGTGACAAACACTCGTCCCTCTACAACACCGCAACCCTCGGGCACAGCGATGTCAGGACCAAGGCTTTTTAAGGTCCCTACCATGAAAACTAGCCCTCGCTTTGGGGGGTGACCTGTCCCAGCACCTTAAGGAACTTAGAACCTCGGTTGTTACCTGGGATTTCTTCATCAAAACAGAACTTCCCAGCCGCGGCAACCATGTCTGGAGCCAGTTGCCCTAGACGCAGCCAAAGAGCAGTTGTGCTAGACTGTCATTCGACCTGCCGCAGCCAGGATGCAGCAGCCCAAGCTGTTCTACCAGCACCAGGAGACCTACGGTGCCAGATCTCTAGACCAACCAGACTGCCAAGCGAACAGGCCACTTCCAGCATTTGTCCTCCCGGAAAACCTGACCTCAGTAGGTAAGAGCATTTAATTCTCCGCTCCGCTGCCAAGCCTGTCCCCCTTTAAAACTTCTCCCCTGGGCACATGTTGTCCCTGGATGTAACTTACTGCTACTTGCTCTCTGGGGCCTTCCTCTTTTTCCCCATTTTCTCTAATCCTTTGAAGTTTGCATTAATTCACGCTTTCAAACGGTTCCCCAGATAAAGCCTCGGTTGCTTGTGGTGGTGACGTGAACTCCCGTGTTACTGTTTCAGGAACGTCCAACCTGTATCAGACCCCCAGTCAAGACAAAGAAGTTCTCATGTCGCCGCCTGCAGGTATGGGACACGCAGCAGAGGAATTAAGGCCAAACTTGGCATACGAGTGAAGTTCATAACTCCCTTTGAAGGTCCTGGCTGTGCCAGCGGTGGGTAGTAAAGAGTCAGGCCCAGCAAGTTGGGCTGAACATTATAATGTGCAATTTTCTGGTGCCCTCGGAGGACACCTACTTTCCCTTACGCCCTCTTATTTTATCTCAAACACCGTACCTGGTGTAGAACCTACTCTGGTTTCCCAGTCCTATGCCCAACCGAATGCCAAAGTTGGTAATGCAGACCAGAAACACCAGACTTGGACCAGGTTATACCATGGGCTTCTCTACATTATGGGGTCACAGCTGCCATAGCCATGCCAGGAAAACTATGTAGTGTAGACCAGACCTCGGTGTCTAATTTGACTCTGATATGCACCATTGCAGAACTAGATCCTTAGCTGGCATAAACTGACATAATCTCATTGAAGTCAATAGACCAGCACCAATTTACATTAGCATTTGTCCCATACTTGGGAGGGCTGGGTTCAGTCAAGCTGAATGCTTATGTGGTCTGGATGCTTAAAAAGCTGCTTTTATTTCTATTGCCCAGGTTTCCAGATGGCTCCCTGCGGATGTTTCTTCGATCCCAGGATATACCGTATAGAATGGGCAACGACCAATTTTGTGCAGCCATCTGTTTATAAGCTCCCCAGCGGCTCGAATTCGCAGACCCCGTACCTCCTGGATGCTCAGAGATACCTCAAGAGCCCTGTACAGACCATCCCGTACCCGCATTATCAGCAAATCCCCAGCAACCCCCAATACATCATGCCTTATTTCAATCAAGAGGGCCTCACCAGCGTCACGGAACAAGTTAATTTTGTCCCCAACCCACTTCACGACTCTCAGCTCGTTGAGGTGCCTCATCTCCAGGAAGAAGGCCACATTCAGAAGAGCGACCACAAACTACCCCAGCTCCTTATCACATTGCCTGGCCTGAACCAGAATGAGACCCCCATCCAAGTCGGCACCCTCAACCACCTGGAGGAAAGGCTAAATCAGACGACCGACCCTGACCCAAGCCACCACCTGGATTTCCAAGTGTTTGATGGTTACCAAGCTGAGGGGAGAGACCTTCAAGAAAATCATGTGATCCAGAACCTCCTAGCAAACCCTCAGACCCCGGACGTGTGCATGGAAGAGCAAAATCCCCTTCCGAGCACCGGTGCTGAAAACGCACAGGTGGTGCCAGAGGGGACGCCCTGTCCTCCGCCGGACAGCATTGCAGCTGAAGAAAGAGAAACGGCAGACGCACAAAAATCCTTTGACCTGCCCGAGAAGGTTTTGCTGGAAGATGCAATGAAACTTTTTGGTTGCTCTCCAGCTAACTCGGACTCCGAGGTCCCCAAGGACAACTTGAGCGGCCCCCCTGAGCCCAGCGAGAGGAAGAGGAAAGACTGCGACTTCCCATGCGAAGACATGAGCTCACTGAAGCTGCCAGAGGAGCTGCTGTCCTGTGCCTACAGCGTGCCAGAGATTTTAACCACAGTGGCAAGCCTGGATTATTTCTATGACATCAAAACCAACAATGAGGAACCAAAGTGGGAGTTCGGACGGGCGCTACCAGCTCCCCGAAACTGTGCATCGCTCCAGGATGGCCTGCAGGAGCCCCAGAGGAAAAAGAAGCGAAGTAACCCGTCTGCTAAGAAAGGCAAACACAGAGCCAGCAAATGCAAAGCTTCTTCTGCACAGGATTGCTGCATGTCCCAGGGGCAGGACTGCCCCGTGCCAGCTATCTGACTGGCACCTTCCCTCTGACTGTACAGAAGCAATTCTGGGCCGGAGTAGGCCCGCTGATTGCAATGAATGACTTGATCAGAACGGACATTCCCTTTATTCCCCCATTAAAAGTGATCTGTTTGGAAATACTCTGCGTCTGCGTTTGAGAGAGAATTGCAAGGGCAAAACTCAGGGTGCAGCACAGGGGAGCATGGTGTAGAAAGGACCAAGTGGATGCAACAGCCAAGCATGTAGGGGAGTTAAATGCCGAGTCCCAAACCAGCTGTTTGCAGGGATTTATAGACGGTGCAGTGGGCCAATGTGTCCTGAGTTATTCATGCTCTCCTACAACAGGCCTGTCTGTCTTCTGGGGGCCACAATTCCTCACCCCAGCTGCATGGCATGTGGCCTCCATCCCACATTGCCCTCTCTGCCTCCCCCCCCACCCAATATACAGCATGGGGACCCCTGCCTATGAGCTGCTTGGCCTTGCAGGCTGCACTGTGCCACCCTTTCCCCCTGCCAAGGGTGGGGCAGGCAGCAAAAGTTAAAGGAGGGAGACTGGAGACTGGCAGGAGCAGCAGGAGAGCATTGGAGGGACTGGCACCAAGACTGGGAGCCTGGAAGGGCCTCAGATTAATCCCTGGGGGCTCAATACGCCCATGGACCGTATCTATATTCTGGACAGCCCTGTCCTAGAATATAGACACACAGCTCATTCAGACCAGTCGCACAAAAGTTGTTCCCGGGCCACGTTACGGGCAGCGAGGTGCAGAAGGTCCCCGGGGAAGTGAACTGGTGCCGTGACAGCAGCCAGGGTACCGGCTTACTGCTGTAGCACTGTACATCCGCCTTACACCGGGGTCAAGGTGCAGGGCACGGGAGAACAGGAGCATCGGCAAGGGGAGACTCCCTCCAGCAAGCCAGGGAGCTGAGCCCGTAACAGGAGTGACAGCGGGGTCCTGGTGGCAGAGCAGCCATCAAGGTTGTGCGGTCCCAGAGCACGCGAGGATTGAGGCTCTCTGCCCAATAGTTTGGACTCTGCCCGCTAGAGGAGCTTGGCAGGAAAGGTATAAACCCCACTGCCCCAAGCTGCAGGAGCCGAATTACCATCTGGAGCCTGCGACTTCCCCCCCAGCAGCTCCTCTGTGTTGCTGTCCACGTCCGCCTCACCCACAGACCCCAGATTGGGACAAAGCCAGGCTGAAGTTTCACGAGATCGGTCCTGGGCAGGCAACGAGGCCCCAGAGCCGTGATGCTGAGCCAGGCGCCTGTGTCCAGAGCGGGCGGCTGGGAGGAAATATCCCTACTTCCTCTTGCTGTGCACCATAGGGGGGGGGAACCGGGTGGGCAGAGGAAGCAGCTGCCCCCACCCAAAAAAAGGCTACAGGAGGCAGCAGGGGCTTTGGCAGGGCAGACCGGTCCTGCTTGCAGCCGCCTCTGCAAGTGTAAGAGGACGCAGCCTGGGGCTGGCACGAGCTGCACCGGCTAATGGCCCGGGAGGGCCGACTGATCTGCTCCTACCCGCAGCCGTTGGAGGCCCCGAGGATTATAATTCAGCCAGGGACCCTCATGAGTTAGCTCAGTATCATGCAGCTACCATGACAACCATGGGAGTAGCTATAGTCTTCTCTGGATCCGAGCTACTTTTGGGCGTAGAAAGGATGGAGGTGACATCTCATTGCAGATCCCTCCAGCTGCCGTGTGAGTTGGGGGAGCAGGGGGGTGGTTCCAGCTGGGGAGAAAGCCCCCCCTACCCACCCCACACACAATTTTTCTTTTAATGCAGCCTCAGAAGTTAAAGAAACTAGTCTCCTCCACATTGTTCCCGTTGCACTTTCCTCTGAAGCATCGAGAATCGGGTGCTGCTGGAGACCAGCCTGGCTCAGAGGGAGGCACACAGCTGGCCCTTCCTCTGCTCTTGGAGATTGCCTTGTGCAGAGAAATCATCACAAGACAGGTTTCCAGGCAAAAATCTAAGGTCTGAGAAGCCCTATACAACCTGGGCCCTTGCTATGCGATGAACACAGAGTCTGCCCATCCGATGCTACCACAGTTGCAAAGTGCAAAGGATGTGAAAGCCAACCGCAGCCAGTTTAAAGGGGTGACAAGGGGCATCTTCCATGGAGCAAGCAGCAGAGTTTGGGCCCCCCTCTTCTGCCCAGAGCAGCCAGGATTCAGAGCTCCACCGTAGCTGAGCTGGTCATGAGTCCACAATTAAATTTTAGAGTGCTAAAATCATTTTAAGCTGGACACCAATGTTTCAAAGACTCTTATTTCTTTCCGAGAGTGGGAAGCAGCAGTTGTGAGCCCCGGCGCTGTGCCCAAACTAGTTCTCTCTTCTTCTCAGCAGAGAATTAGCACAGCCACATGCATCTGGCACACAGGCGAGGCTGAGTAGCTGGCCTGGACACCAGCTAAGCTAAACAGAGGTAAACAGTGGCTGCTTCCCAATGCAAAAGCAGCACAGCCACATCCCCCTCAGGTCAGGCAGATAGGTAGGAGTCTACATCTACATAGATACAGCAGAAGGGTACCCAGCAATGGTCCCGGATCAGCTTTTCAAATTTGGGATGAAAATCTTGCTTTGGGGACGCCAGAAATCCAGGACTGTCCTGGAAAACCTGCACCGCGTTGCTATAATACAACCATGGCCTTAAGTGTTGGAGCAGGGCTGATCAAAGCAAGCATTGATTGTTCTCAATAAAAGTTTCAACTAAGCCAGGGGCTGGAACAGCTGCAAAAACAGTGGCGGGGCAATAAAGTCCTGTTGACTTTTAAATAGCTGGGCATCTGACTCTCATTGGATCTTTAATGCCTTCTTTATCACACCCAGCATCTAGGCCAGTGGTGCTCAGCCTCATTTGACCCAAGGGATCCCCTCCATAATGGTAGAAACAGTGCGCCCCTCCGTTCACAAAGACGTATGCGTTAGAGCGCTTGCCTCCTTGCAGAGAGGTTGGGCAACAGGGATAAGCTTGAGCCTTCATTGATCTCCTTGCCCCCCAGGGCACCCATTAAAGGGTCTAGCAGCACTGCTGGTTGCCGCAGCACCATGGCTGAGAATCACCGGTCTAGGTATCCCCATTGCTTCGTGTCCCACCTGGCCCATGCCACCGTTTCCATCCCCTCTAGCAGTTAGGCCTAGTATAGAGGCAAGTCTGCCACCACTTCTGACTCGACAGGAGTTTGGAGCGCTTGAGCAGTAGAGACCAATGGTTGGAAGGTCCTGGTCCAATTCTTGTGGACAACCTGGAGCAACGATCTGCCTGGTGGGTCCAAGGAGAAGCTAAACTTAGACGTGAAAATACTGCTTTGCACTCTGAGCCCTCCCTTCCACCCAGGGCTCTGGACTGCTTTGCAAGCTCAGAGCTTTCAAGGGAGAGAAAGAGACTTATTCATCCTCAGAAAAGCAGCATCCACCCCCCTCCCCCCAACCCCCCATCACCGAACCCCCTTTAATTTTAAAGCTTTTCAGGTCTCCTTATAGCAAGATGCTACCAAGACTGGTCTAGCAAACTTGGCACAAAAGCAGGGTGTAAAGGGATATGGGATTCTAGGGAAGAAACTAGCACTTCCCATTAATCCAATCAAACCAATTTGAATTGAATACATGAGGTGTTTGGGATGGAGAGAGGGGCTGGAGGAGGAAAAAAAAGTTCCCCTTCTCATCCCAAACTTGTCAGGTGTTAGCTGGATGGAGTAAGAGTGATACGCTAGGTGTGTCAGAGGCCTCAGGTCACTAAGGAAGAAGTTTCTCCTACATCCAAATGTGCAGGTATCGAACCACAACCGGTTTTATTGGTGCCACGAGCCAGACGTGCGCACACACCTCCCACCACACACACACGTCCAAGGAGAATAAAACGTTTGCAGCCCCGGAGAGGGCTCTTGTGAAAGAAGTGTTCAACGAGGAAGCAACAGCTGGAGTGCTACCACACGTGCCTGGAACACTTCCACTCTCTTTATTGATCATTTTAACATTTGATCTCCATAACCTCTTTTGCCAAATTACAGACAAGTCCCCCCACCCCCCGCAAGAAACAACCTACTACTACAGCTCTGCAGCACCGTTACCTCCTCCTCCAGCCTGGTCGCACAAGCCGAAGATCAAGAACCAGCGGGGTGGAAACCCCCCAACGTGACGCATTGCTCAGAGCACCGAAGGCAACATTATTGGATCGGAAAGAGGAACGAGCCATTGAGTCTTGCTTGCAATAGGTGCAGGTTGAGATACGTCCGCAGTTACTAGCGGCTACTAGCCAAGGGTTATAGTTCACTCTGGGCCCCAAGCTGTCACCAGTCTCGGCTAGAGAGCTGGGATATTTTGGAAGGTGTCTAGATACTAGACAGCACCGAGATGGAAGCAGCCATGCTGGCTCGATGCATCAGCCTCAGCATCTCACCTTGCCAGCCGACTAACTGCACGCTCCTCTTAATCCCTAAATTGCCAAGACTTCACACTCCAGCTTCCTAAGTGGCTGCACTTACATCATTAGCAGATAATCAAAATGTTCCATGAGGGTGGAGGGGGGGGGAAAAAAAAAAAAAAAAAAAAAAAATTAGAAATGTTACATTACTTGAGAGAAGAAGCAGCGGTAGCATTAGTGCCTCAGGACCAGCCTCCCTCTCCCAATGCTGTTGTAGAAGCCTTTGGTCCCATCCGGCCCGTGGGGCAGACGGATCACACCCGGTCGAAGGCCGAAGGAGTCGGACACCTTCCTTGCTGCCAGAGGGCTGCAGAGTAGAGGTTTGGTTTCCAGAGGCGGGCTCTGGGCTGCCACGCGTCGCCGCTGCACCCACGAGCTGCCGGACCCGATCCCGCTGTCCCAGCAGGAGTCAGAAAATCGTTGGTACTCGGGGCTGGTGCTCGTGCTCAGGCTGGACGATCCTCCACTCCCCAGCTCGGCAGCCAGGGATGAAGGGCACTGGAGGGCTTTACTGGAGAGAAGAGGGCTGGAGTACGGGGTGCTGAAGAAGCAGGGTTTGAAGCTGCAGAGGCTGCTGGCGGGCCACGCCGGAGAAGAGAGATACTGCTGCATTAGGACGGGAGGCGAAGTCGGCGTGCCGTCGGACTCCGAGGAGCTGCAGAAGAAGGAGTCTCCCGCATTACATGGCATCTTCTCCGACCCCGGCGATGCCTGCGGCTTCCAGCCTGGCTTGCCGGCCAGCTCCACCTCCTCCGCCTCCTCTTGCTCAGCCCCGCTCTTCTTCTTGGAGCCTTTCCCCGAGAGACGGACCACCTTGATGCCCAGCGAGCCCTGGCTGTGGTTCAGCTCCTCGTAGGCCTTCCTGGCGTTCTCCAGGCTCTCGTACTCCACCAAGGCGCAGCACTTGGTCAGCAGCTCGGGGTAGCGGAAGGAATACTTCTTCACATCCGACGGCAGCTTCTTGCCGGGCCGCAGGATGCGGATGGAGGTGATGGCACCGAACGGGCTGAACATCTTGGTGATGGTCTCGATGAAGCTCTTTTGGAGCGGCAGGGACAGGGCCTGCTCCTGGGGCAGGCGGTTCCAGGCCAGGAGCAGCTTGCTCGGTGGGATGCTCAAGAGAGACTCTGGGATGGGGTTTCTCCGCCTCACCTTGGTCCCTTCCTCATTCACTTCTAGGCGCTCTGAGAACTGCAGGGCATACAGAGTGAGCCGCCAGTCTCGGGTGAGGTATTTCACCTGTTGCACGAGAAGGTAAGCATCATTTTCCTTCGAGTATTACCAAGAACAAGGAGGTGCCTGGATAGACACCTGCGCAGGTCAGAGGCCCTGATCAGCTCAGCCCATGGAGAGCGTGGCTTTCTCCCCTCTTCTTCACACTAGCAACTCTAGTGCACATGAGCTGGCAAGTGGAGCATGCTTTGCCAAGGGGCTCATATGCCTTTAGTGACCGCAGGAGGGAAGCAGTCACCGACACCGCCCAGTACAACACCGGGCCCTAGGTAAATCAGAACCCCAAGAACAGAATGGCCAAGAATAAGCCAAGATCTCAGAGTGCGTATAGTTTTGTTTTAAGTTAGAGAGACTTGGGGGTGTGGGTGGAATAGCTAGGACTCCCATAAAGGGCAGGTTAAGTCTGGCCATTTAGCCTTGCATTTTGAAAAGCATTACCCTAGAGTTAAAGCTAAGCTAGGACAATTAAAATAAATAAATAAAAAAAAATAAAAAGTTACTTCTTTCCTAGGCTTCAAAAGAAGAGAAACAGTCTATGAAGGGGCCTTTTTTTGATAACAATGTTCAAAAAGAAGTTGCAATATCTGCATAGGCACCTTCACCTGGAAAATCCTGAAGTACTCAGCATTCATTCCTGCCTGTGGCAGGGGGTCAGGCTAGATGATCTGTTCAGGTCCCTCCTGACCCTAGCTACTATGAAAACTATGAATGAAAATGTCCTCTGCAAACCACTCACTTCCACCTACCTCCATATACTCTGCAAACCACTCACTTCCACCTACCTCCACTCCATGGTAGCAATCAGCTAATAGCAACCAGCAACTTAGGATGGTTAGTTAGATATGGGAGAGGAGCCCCATATCGGTCTGGAGGGGCAGGGTAGAGGTGATGCAACCCAGTTTAACCCCAGCCCTCTTGCAAGCTTTACCAGAGCTGGGCACCATGCACTGCGGTGACTGCACAAGGCATCAATACATTGGACTTGGTTGCTCATAACTGGCTTCAACATTTAGGCCCAGGACTACCTTCCCTTTACCTTTGGGCCTCTTCCTGTCCGTACCAGGCTCTACTCACCTTCTTGAAAGAGGTCAGTAGTTTGATGCTCACAAAACCCATCTTGTTCTTCTGGACATGCTTCAGGAGGAAGGCATCCTTGGCGAGGTTTTCATCAGACAAGTAGAACTCCACTTGAGAAACGATCCTCTTGATCAGCTGCGGATCGGGCACGGAGCAGTCGCACTCAAACGAGTCAGCCCCAAAAATATCGTTCACATCATAGAAGCTCCTAGGAACAAGGGAGCAGGGATGCCGTGCAAGGTTAGTGGCCCTCCTAGCCGGGACACACGTGCAGAGCATGAACTAGCCGCACTTGCACAAGGCTTGGCAAGCCACGCCAGAACCGGAACAGTTACAGTAGGAACTACAGGGACAAGCCGGCTTACCAGCATCACTTGGGTACCAAACCAAATTCCTCCCCAGCAGCCAGAGATTTAAACAGGGTCCATTGGCATAGTGTGTCAGAGTGTCTTTCACAACCCCAAAAGGAGCTTCCCCCCCACACCGCCAAAAAGCTTGTGCTGCAGACTTCCCCACTCCCTTGTGTCTTGGAAATCAGGTTGCCTCCTACTTCTTTGGATGCAAAAGCCTTGATCTCTCTCATGTTGCAGTGCTGCAGGCTGAGCAGCATGGAAGCCGCCCATTAACACTGCTCCAGATCTACCCTGGCATGCCCAGGTCCCTGCCATGTGGGCACCCTAGGGAGATGGGACACAAGGGCACCTTAGAAGAAGCAACTAGAAGGAAGTTTCTCCTACTCGATACAAGAATCACTTCCACTTTCCACAAACCTAGCAAGCACATGTGCAATGAATGCACCAGATCCTCACAGGAATCCACTCCACTGCAAGCACCCAAGCGATAAACCTCATCCCTGCTCTTGGATCCCGCAAGGATCTGCAGACCCCAGAGCCACACTGAAAGGTCAGTGCAAGAGTCCATCAGGAAGGCACAAATCAGCAGCAGCATTGCCAATGCTCATGATTTTTGGCATTGATCTCATCATCTGTGCTTTGGGAATGTGAAAGACGTGGCTCTGTCTTATACACATATAAAGAAAGAGCTAAGGTTTTCACATTCCCAAAGCATAGCCTTTGAGAACAATGCCAAGAATCACGAGAGCTGGCAATACTGCACCAGTCACACCAGCTCCCTTGCAAGGACACACATACCCATCGAAGCTCTCGAAGAAGTCCTCCTGGCTGAGCGGGGGAAGAAGCGAGCTCCTGCGCGGAAGCAAGTGCAGGGCAGAGAAAGGGTTTGCTTGCACCTGGACTGGGGTGCTGCAGCTGGGCTGGGAGCCAAGCCTCAGGGCCACCATGGAGCTACGGGACAACATGGCACTTCATCTGGGAGGTTACAAGAGAGAAACAATAATCAGAGGCTGTTCAAACACTGTCCACCAAAGAGACCAGCAGTCAGGGCACCCGGGCATGTATCCCACCTTGGCAGAAGCCACTACTGTACCCAAGCAGGTGAAGAGCACCAACAAGGGATGCATCCCAACAGAAAGAGAACCCAGCCCAAATCATCCCCATCTGCTCACCTGCTTCACAGGGCTGCCAGTGCAACAAGAGCCCACTGGCTTCTGGCACTACATCCTAGAGGCCTTGAAGAGATGGTCTCCTTCCCTCCTCGCCCAAACTGAAGCCCCTTGGAACAGAGAAAACCCCTTGTGCTCCCCGAGCCCTGGTTTATAAGAAAAGCCAGAGCCACACAGGAAAAGCTGCTACAGGGATTTGGGACTGCAGTGGGCCCTGGGAGAGGAGAACAGGCATCCAGGTGAAATGTGTCTTCGGGCTAACCAGCTGCACCTGGCCTGTATTACTGAGCTCTCAGGCCAGAAACAGGGCAAAGCCACTTCTTGGAAGTGGGGGGGGATTTAGTGGTTGTCTTAGCAGGTGTGACTTGGAGGGCTGTTACAAGGCACTGAGCTGGAGGAGGATTAGCAGGAATAAGGGCTGCATGCAATAGGATGCAGTAGGTTTCCTTGGTCGGGCTGTTACATGCCCGGAGCTACAGAGAAAGCCCAAGTTGGTGAGAGAGCTGGGAGCCCTTCCTGAGTGCTTTTGAAGGGGGTCCTCTTCTGCATCCCTGATGCCACTTTAAGTGATGAATGTAGCTCAGCTGCTAGCCTCCTCCTCCCGTTGTGATCATGAGGAAGGGCCTGGGGGAAGCAGAAATAGGGTAAAAGGTGGCTTTGTTTCTCCAGGCCCATTTTGAATGTGAATGGCAGCCAGGCCTTACCACCCAGCAAGAGGGTCTGCAAACCTGGCCGCCCCAAGGAGCAAATGGCCAGGCAGCCCTTGATGCCCTTCCTTTGGGTGAAGGGCAGCTGCTAAACTGCAGAGGGTGAAGTTCAGTGGCTCGAGTTAGGGACTGGAGTTGAAACCTGCCTGATACTTGGGTCTGGCCCAGACCCATGAAGGCTGGGGTTGGGTTGCACAGGTTTGTGCTCGGGGGTCCTGGATCTGAAGCAGGCTGGGGAGGGTGTTAGCTCATGAGCAGGGAGCAAAGATGCTGGAACCAGGGTGTGCGCCGGGCAGCGGTGGGGGGGCGTGTGGCTCCTGTAACTCCGGTACCGAGTTTGGGAGGGAGGGAGAGAGGTGACTGGAGGGGTAGAATAACTAGGGGAGTATGGAGAGAAAAAAAGACATTGGGACAGATGAGTAGTCGGGGGTCACCGAGTCCTGTTCCAATCTCTCGTGCTGCTGGTGACCGGGGAAGAGCTCAGACAAGAGGGCCGTGTTGTCCTCTAGCCGGCCCTCCTGGCTTGCAGCAATCTGGGTGAAGGGCTGTCACCTATTGCAAAGTTGGAGTCTGGCAGGAGGAGAGAGGAAGCCCTGCCGTGTGCTGCCGGTGCTGCCACCTCCTCTGTCTGGTGCAGCCGTTTGCAGAGGGCACAACGAAGCAGCAATGCCCCCTCCCTGCCCCACCACCCCTTCTTACCTGAGGGCGTTTCACACCGGGTGTCCATGGGTGGAAGCCAGCCTGCAGGGTGCGGGGGGACGGACGGTCAAGACGTGGGCGCTGGGGAGCTAGCGTGGAAGCTGGGCTCCTGACGGACAGTCTGATTAAGGGCGGTTGCTGCCCTGCCACAGGCCCTGCTTCTTGGTGCCAGCGAGGGTAGCACGGCAGCTATTGAGCGTCCTAAAGGGAACTGCCTTGTCCCACCTTCTCTCTTCTTGATCGGCGATGCCGAGCAGAGGCCCTGCCCAGTGGCAGCTACGACCCTTGCTTCCTCTAGCCCCACCGGTCTTGTCCTTTCCTGGTGTTGGGATGTAGGGGTGGAAAAAGCAGGCCGGCCAAGCTCACTGCAGCCCTTCAGTGACTAGATGGATGGTGTGGCAGGGAGGACGTGGCTGTGCCTGGGAGCCGGTTGTCTGTCTGTGCTGCTCCTTTGCAGTGGCAGTCGTCTGCGCCCAGCCATTGCTCGCCCCCTTGCAGGCGGGCCGTGGGGTTTGCCCTGAATCTCCCCTTCCCAGCTCGTGATGGTGATGCTGAAGGATGCCAGGCCTGCCACCAAGGCTCCCTTTCGCTTGTGCTGTGCTCCCGAGCCCCTGGGCTCTTGAGCCCCGCAGCGGCGAGGGGCAGGTGGCTGGCACCGCTGCCTCTGGGGATCCACCCCAAGCCTGATCCGCCCTCAGGAGATGGTTGTGGCATGAGGAAGAGGAAGATGAAGCTGAAGAGGGACTCATGGAGGAGACTGAGCAGCTGCTGGCAGACTTAGTGAGGAGTGAATGGAGAAAGTACCTGGCTGGGGCGGGGGGAAGAGGTGATGGGGAAAGGAAATGAGAAGCTCTGGTCCTGTGTACCCCGAGGATTACAGGAAGACCCGTTGGGGCTTATAGATGTGAAAAGTCCTTGTAGTGGGCAGAGATTAATGTGCAAGTAGTAGGAAATGACCAAACCGCGTTTCCAAATGGAACCGAACGGGTGTCCCTGCGCCCGTGGGAGCTGCTGTGAACATGGACAGAGCCTGCTGGAGCATTTATGGGGTATGTTTGATTTAATTGCACTAAATAGCTCTTGGCTATACAGAATGAGTATTGGGTGCGACTCCAGGCAGCCCTGGGCAGGGGGTGGAAGAGCCTCCCCCCGGGCCCAGAAGGGAGGCGGCGACTCTCCTTCGAGTGCCCCAGGTTGCAGTTTCCAATAACAAGAGGGCCTGACGCTGGCCTGGAAAGCCCAGCAGCCAGAACGGGTGGGCTCTGCCAGCTCAGGGATGGCTCTTGGCTGTCTGCCCATGTGCTCCAGGACTCTTCAGCAGTGTCTGTTGGTGCAGATGAGAAATCTCCCCCCTGACTCAAAGCAATGCTGGCGACTGTCGCGCTCAAGGTGACTGGATACCCACACGAGGGAGCTGGTGTCCTACCAAGCTTGGCCTCACTTGCCCTGGAAGTTGCTGTCACTGTCTGCATTTTACCAATGGGGAAACGAAAGCACTGAGTAGGGGGAAGCAACATGGCCAAGGTGATGTAGTGGATCAGTGGCAGAGTCAGGAGCCCACCCCCCCCTGTCCACCAGATCCCATGGCATCCCATCACTCGGAGGGAGACAGAGTGGTTTAGAGAACACCTTGCTGGACTGGGACTGGGAGACCTGGGCTCCGGCCCCTGGACCCACCACACTCCTGCTGCACGATGACCTTTGGCAAACCTCTCTCTCTGGGCCTGTTTCCCCATCTATGCAATGGGGATGATGCCTGACTTCAGTGAAGCGCTTTGAGATCTACTGATAAAAGTACAAAAAACATAGACCCATTGCTCCTATCTGTAATTAAACCACGCTTTTTGTGTTGTCCCAAAGCACTGGCACCTGCAAGGGGCTGGTTGCAGAGCCTTGCTGACATGACTGATCAGGGGATGGTAAGCAAACCTCTCTGCTTCTCCTCTTTCTCCTGTGACATCTTAGGAGGGGGGCTGCCACCTCCATCCACGTTCCCCTTCCCCTTCCCCCTTTGCTTCTGGCCACACGCAGACCTGGAGCTCACAATGATCTGGCTGATCTTGTTTCAGTTGCAAGCAGCTCTTACCTTGGTTGCAGGTTGCCCTTGGCTTTAGACGGCTGCGGGGGGCTCAGACTCCCTCGGCTGCAGCCCAGCAGTGGTGGGTTCGGTGCTGCCTTTTCTCCCCCATCCCATTTGGGTGCTGCCTCTGGCAGCTGCTTCTCAAGTTCAGGCAGGACTGGCAATAGCACATGATGATAACCTCTTCTGCACTAAATGCTGTGCATCACATTTTGGATGGAGGTCCTGGGAGCAACTGTGGTTGGGGAACCTCCCCCCCATGCTGGACAGTAGGAGATGAAGTCTCTGTCCCAAAGAGGCTGCAGTCTAAATGGGCAGAGGCAAGGAAGGGAGGGAACTGGACCAAGGAGCCAGGCTGAGCCAGAAGAACCACATTTCTTCGCTCCTGACCTTCCCAGCACGTGCACTCAGAGGAGCTGGTGGTCCATGCCTTGAAGATGTGCATTCGAGCATTTTTTTTTTTTGCTTTGAACTTTCACCTGCTCTTTTGGGGAGAGAAATTACACGCTCCCATATTTGTCACTTTGATATTTTAATGACTAGTGATTTACATATGTATTTCAGCAGAGGAGATGTTAAAAAAAGAATGACACCCAGCCAGCACGACTGTGCCTTGTAGAAACAACAGCTCTGGTGTTCAGAAATGGAGGATGCGATGTAGACAATGCTAGCCACTGTCTTGCAAGCTTGTGGAGGAGGAAAGTTTCCCTGGGCAGGCCCAAACCCTCGGGGATGCACTGGCCTTCTCGGAGACTTGAGGTACAGATGCACCTCCCGCTCCCTTCCTTCCCTCTGCCAGCTTGACGGGGTACTTGGAGGAGGACACATGATGATCACGAGCTGTCCTCAGCCTGAGCTGACTTGCGTTTCTACCGAAATCAGCAGGCACAATTTCAGTGGGGACAGTCGGATCAAGTGCTTTCAAAAATCCCATCCCACGAGGTGAGTGAAAGGGACACCGCAGGGTGATGGAAATTACTTAACCCTCGGTCTTGTCCATAGTGTTAAGGTGAAGACTTCCTCGTGCTCCACTGCAGAGCGTGCCCAACAATCGGATTCTCCCCCTCGTCCCACTACCATGATCAGATTTGAAGTGTGGCACTAAGACCCAAGGCACCGGTCTGGGTTGCCAGTCCATTGGTGAGTCCTATCCTCTTTCACAGCAGAAACCCACGTGCCAGGCAGGCAGATGCTGCCTGTGATGCAGCTGCTACTTCATGCTGAACTTGGACACGGGAGGCTAAGTGTGCCTTTGTGAAACGGTCTGAAACATGAGGCCCAAACTGCAGGATCTGACAGCCTGCGGTGACAGCCCATGCATGTCAGCAGCAAAATACAGCTGCATCTGACTGTGCTACGGCTTGAGTAGCTCACGAAAGAGGTGGACACGCATGTTCACTATTCTGCAGGATGGCGTTTGATACATGCTTATTGCTGCTCACGTTTACCTGGGAATTTTGTGCCTATTGGTTTTGGGTATCTATCGAAGCAGCTTGCGCAGTGTTGTGCAACACCACTGCATTCTCACTTCCACTTTTGTGGTAAGAGATCTGACATGCTTAGTTTTTATTAGCCGCAAACAGGACCCAGCCCACCAGCTGCAATTAGCATCAAATTCTGCAGGAGCAAGGAAATGTAAGACTTGGCTGGCTTGATTGACCGCCTTAACCTATCACTGAAGGTTCAACTTCTGCACTGGGCAATGTGCGTTGTCCCTATTTACA